TGATCTCTGGGCCTGGGCGCTGTCCCTCAGCCCTTCAGCTCAAGGTGAGCGCTCTACCACTTGAGCCACAGTGCCACTTCTGGCTTTTTCTGTTTGGGTAGTGCTGAGGAATCAAACCCAGGGCCTCATGCGTGCAAGGCAAGCACTCTACCACTGAGCCACCTTCCCAGCCCAGTAATTGTCGGTTCTTTCTCCCTCTCCCCATGAAGACTCATGGGGACATTCAAGAGATTGTTTCTTTCCACTGATCTCCCTTTTCTCTAAAGGTGCCGTTCCCTGAGAGGAGAGGACAGGGCTCTGAACCAGTATCCTGCACTGTATTATCCAGAGCTGTATATCCTCAAAGGGGGCTACAGAGACTTCTTTCCAGAATATATGGTAAAGAGGGGGGCATGGGAGAGGTTGGGCACAAGGGAGTCAGATTCAGCTAGCAGTTTCCTGGGGCTGCAAAGCTTTTTGAGAAGAAACTGATGTTCCTTCTTAGCCACAGCCAGCACCATCATACAGTGTCTTCATTATCATTATAGGTAGAGTTCAGGAGTCTAGGAATCTCTTAATCTGTCACCTAACTTTCAGGAGCTGTGTGAACCCCAGAGCTACTGCCCTATGCATCACCAGGACCATCAGGCTGAGCTGCTGAGATGTCAAAGCCAAAGCAAGGCTCAGGAAGGGGAGCGGCAACTTCGGGAGCAGATTGCCCTCCTGGTGAAGGATGTAAACCCCTGATGGTGATTTAGCCACTGGTGATGAAGAAGTCACCAAAAGACATTGTGGTGACCCTGAGGCCATCATCTCTGTAGTAACCTAGGATTGTTTAAAAAAAAAGATGTCCACACAACAGCAAGCTGCTGCACTAAGGAAATCCCAGGAGTAGGGACTGGTTAGGTTTCAGGGGAGCTGATGGCTGGTAGCTGAATCTGAGAGCTAGCTCTGGAAGGCTGTGGCTTTGAATTATGTAGAGATTTGTGTCACTTTCAGGAACTCCTGCATTTCTCTTCCCAATTTCTGTCTTTTCTCTAGCCAAATAGTTTTTTTGTCTCTCTAGGCTCCTGGCTCTTTGTCCTCCCCTACTCCTTTCCCACAAAAATGAAAAAGTAAACATTTCAGAATAAGAACTGTGATTGTGGGCCCACATCTGCTCTTAGATCACCAACTTAGACTCCTTTAAAGGTCTGGGAATATTGTTCAGTTGTAAAATGCTTGCCTACTATCCATCACTATATTTGTAGTGCTGGGTTCAATCCCCAGCACTACAAAGAAAAAAGAAATAAAATCTTGAGGCTGCAATCTGGGAATTCAAAGACAGCCTGTAAAGGAAAACATGTGGAACTCTTTTCTCCAATTAGCCACCAAAAAACCAGAACTGGAGCAATGGATTAAGTGATGGAGTACCAGCCTTAAGCAAAAAGGACAGTGATCAGGTCCTGAGTTCAAGCCTTTGTAGAAGCACACATGCACATGCACACTCATGAGTGCATGCACGCACACACACACACACACACACACACACACACACAATTAGACTTTTAGACATAGAAGTATAACTATAGCTGGACACTGGTAGCTTATGCCTGTAATCCTAGCTACTCAGAAGGCTGAGATCTGAGGATCATGGTTCAGAACCAGCCTGTCAGGAATGTCAGTAAGACTCTTATCTCCAATAACTACTCAAGAAAGCCTGAGGTGGTGCTGTAGCTCAAGTGGTAAAGTGCTAACTTGAGCACAAAGAGGCTCTGGGACAGCACCTTGGCCCTGAGTTCAAGCCCCATGACCGACAACAAAAAAAGAAAGAAAGAAAAAGTAATGTATCTTCTTGCTTTTCTGTAAAGTAGTAGTCTTAATACTTTCAGTCCTGGAACATCAGCACCTTTTGAACTTGTTTGAAATGTAAATCTCCGTAGTTTACCTTTTAAGTCAGAAGTTCTGAGGTTAAGGCTCCAAAGTTGAGGTTTTAAGTCTGCTTTTCCAGGTGGTTTTGGTGCTTGCTGAAGTTTGGGAACTATTGCTCTAGAATTAAGGGAAGTCAGACTATTCTTGAACTGTGGTACTGCACACCTGTAAGACTGAAGTAGGCTAGGGAGTTCAAAGCCATCCACATAGTGAGACCCTGTGAACAACTACAGAACAACAAAAACAAAAGTGTATTCTTAAGCAGTAGTCCAAGTGTTCCTTTTCTAGACATTCTCTGGTATGAGTTATGTATGGGTTACATAAAATTGTTCCCTATTCAGGGCCATGTGTCGTGTGGTCTCAGAAAACCAAATGATTAGCATTCTCTGAGGTAGATGGTAGATCTGAGTTGGGCTCATAATTTACTTGTTTGTACTGGGGGTTTGACTTTCTCCTGTTTCCCAGACTTCTCCATTCCATTTTACATCTTATGAGGACTGTAAGACTTAGGAGATTTGTGATTTAAGAAGATAGGAATGAGCCGGGCGCTGGTGGCTCACGCCTGTAATCCCAGCTACTCAGGAGGCTGAGATCTGAGGATCGCGGTTCAAAGCCAGCCCGGGCAGAAAAGACCGTGAGACTCCTATCTCCAATAAACCACCAGAAAACTGGAAGTGGTTCTGTAGCTCAAGTGGTAGAGCGTTCGCCTTGAGCTGAAGAGCTGAGGGACAGCACTCAGGCCCAGAGTTCAAGCCCCACGACTGACAAAAAAAAAAAAGAAGAAGAAGAAGAAGATAGGAATGAAAGAAAAAGTACAAAGATCAGCTAAACTCAAGGAAAACCTTTTTCAGTAACATCTCTGGCTTTCCTTCCCGGGAGCTCTTTAGAATGAGAAGGCTTTTATCTGTGTAGTAAGGTACATGCCCTACTTGGCCTAGGGTAGCTCAGGGATTGACTACATTTGTCATTCTCTGGCATTAAGTTGCTACAGGTAGCCCTGCACTGGGAAAGGTGGAATCACTTTGAAGCCTGGAATAGAATGTATGCAAAAATAACAACTTCATAGTTCTGGAGTCTGCAGGACTGCAGGAAGGGAGCAGAAAGGAGTGTTGTAGTTACACAGCAGCTCTGCCTGAGTCTGGTTGGACTAAAGTTTTGCAATTTCCACCTTCTTGCCATAGAGTGCTGCATGGATGCCTCACAGCAGAGGGCGCTGCTGTATTCTCTAAGACAGCTAGCTGGAGCCAGCAGTCTCTACCGAAGCAGCTGCTTGGCAGAATAAAAACTACCTGCTAAGCCTTGGAGTTCAGAGCCTGGGATGGGAGGAGGGGTGGGAGGTGGGGGGTGTAACTATATTAGGTAGAGGTGGCTGAGGGGAAAATACTACACATGTGCTCCTCCCTCCCTGTAAAAACAAACAAAAAACAACCCTAGGGCTTAATTATGTACCTCAGGAAAATGGATCTCACAGTCAGGATCTTTGTATCAACCTCCTGACCATTGGGATTGCAAGTGTGAACCACTACTACTCCCAACTCCATATAGGTTTCTTATAATATCCTCATTATAGGGATCATACAATTTTGTATTCATATTCTCAAGAATAATTATAGCTAACCGTTTTCAGCTACTTACTGCATACAAGACTTTCATGACAATTTCTTTTGAAAGAAATTGAGGAACAGGGCTGGGAAGTTGGCTCAGTGGTAGAGCGCTTGCTTTGCATGCCTGAGGCCCTGGGTTCGATTCCTCAGCACCACATAAGCAAAAAGAAAAAAGCCAGAAGTAGGGCTGTGGCTCAAGTGCTAGCCTTGAGCTGAAGAGCTGAGGGACAGCGCTCAGGCCCAGAGTTCAGGCCCCTCGACCGGACCCCCCCCCCAAAAAAAGAAATTGAGGAACAAAGAGATTAAGTAAATTTAAAGTCACACAGATAATCAATGGCAGACTTGCTGTTTAAAGCCAGATATTATGGTTCAAAATCCTTTGTGGTTTTAGTGTTACCAAATTTCATCAGAAAACAGTGTGCCAGTCTAGAATTGGCCATGTATTGGGCATAAATCTGTTTGGGCCTCAATTGTAGGTTCTTGGGAATTGAGGGTCATAAGGTTGCTTGTGCTTGGAAGATTAGGCCAAGGCCAGAGTGTCTGAGGTTCTGTAGGGGAAGCTCTTATTGGTAGCCCTGGACTGACTGCTATTTCTCATCATGAGGACAACTAATACAGAATGGAAATCTTTTGGTCTAAAAACTGGATCTGTTGTCAGTTTCAACTCAGTACCTAATTAATCAACAGGAACAGTGGGAGGCATAAAGTATTCTCTTCTTATCCAGTTTAGGCAAATGTTAAGGAAACCTTACCAATTCTTTTTTCCTTTTTTTGGCCAGTCCTGGAGCTTGAGCTCAGGGCCTGGGCTCTCTGCCCCTGAGCTTCTTTTGCTCAAGGCTAGCACTCTACCACTTAAGCCACAATGCCACTTTCTGTTTATATGGGCCTGAGGAATAGAACCCAGGGCTTCATGCATGCTAGGCAAGTACTCTCCCACTAAGCCACATTCCCAGCCTGCCAATTCCTTTAAAACATATGTATCTGGAATTGACAACTCTAAGTACACAGGTATTCAAATGTAACACAGTCCTTGTCCTTAAGAAATGGATGGGGAGGGCTGGGATGTAGCTCAGTGGCAAAGCGCTTGCCTAGCAAGCGCAACGTCCTGGGTTCGATCCCCAGTACCAAAAAAGAAAAGACAAAAAAAAAATACAGTTAAAAAAAAACCCAAACAAGAAATGGATGGGGAGCCGGGCGCTGGTGGCTCACGCCTGTAATCCTAGCTACTCAGGAGGCTGAGATCTGAGGATCGCAGTTCAAAGCCAGCCTGGGCAGGAGAGACTGTGAGACTCCTATCTCCAGTAAACCACCAGAAAACCGGAAGTGGCGCTGTAGCTCAAGTGGTAGAGCGCTGGCCTTGAGCTGAAGAGTGAGGGACAGCGCCCAGGCCCAGAGTTCAAGCCCCATGACCGACAAAAAAAAAAAAAAAAAATGGATGGGGAAGCTGGGCACCAGTGGCTCATGCCTGTAATCCTAGCTACTCAGGAGGCTGATATCTGAGGATCTGGCAGAAAAGTCCGTGAGACTCTCATTTCCAGTTAACCACTCAAAACCCAGAAGTGGTGCTGTGGTTCAAGTGGTAGAGAACTAGCCTTGAGCACAAAGAGGCTCAGAGGCAGCCCCAGGTCCAGAGTTCAAGCCCCACAGCCGACCTAAAAAAAAAAAAAAAAAGTACTGGGGCCAGGCATTGGTGACTTACACTTCTAATGCTAGCTACTCAGTAGGCTGAGATCTGATGATTGAGCTTCAGAGCCAGCTGGGGCCAACAGATCTGAGAGTCTTATTTTTAGTTAAACCTCCAAAAATGGAAGTGAAGATGTGGCCTAAGTAGAAGAACATGAGGCCCAGAGTTCAAGTCTCAGTATCAGCACAATCAATCAATAGAGAAATGAACAAAGTAGGAAATGATTCTCAGAATTGGAGGCTTGGAGGCTTAAAATGAAACAGGAATATGTAGTGCACACAGCAGCCGCCATTCTCTGACAGCTCCAGAGCAGTAAACAAAGGAACTTCACTCTGGCAGCTACTCTACATTGTAGAAAAACTGCTCCACGAGGAATCGGAAATGAGGTCACACTGACATCCACCACAGAACCCTAATCTTTTCTAAGCTTTCACATGACCACTCTCTATCACGACTGATGTCTATACCTACACAAGTAGCCTGCACAAACCCTGAGCCCAGATGCATAAATCACAGTGTAAGAGCACACAACTCATGAAAAAAGAAAAACAGCTCCATTCTCAAAAGGCAGCAATGACATAGTGAAGGACTGAAAGAGTGAAGAAGTAAAATGCCCAAGAAACTCATGAAAGCAATGTTGAGAGAAATGGCTGATGAAATAAAAGACCAGATCTTCAAAGAGCTAAATGAATTTCAAGAGAAAATGATTGTCTTGGGTACCAATAGCTCAAAAGAAAAGAAAATTTATGTTTCCATCCCTACAGGTACTCTGATCCCTGGGATATTCAGCAAATGGAAGTCGGGGGAGAGAGGGCGGACTAGTCAAATTCATAGGATAATTAACTCCTATGTGCCACTGGAGATATTTTATTCAATGCTTAAGTTATAGACGCTGTACTAAACACTATGCTCAATGCAGATTTATTTAATCCTTACAACGTACCTAGAAACATTCTTACAGATTTTACAGGTTAAAAAGAAAAATGGGAGCACAAGCTGGGTGCTGGTTCCTCCTGACTGTAACCCTAGCTACTTAGGAGGCTGAGATCTGAGGATCACAGTTGGAAGCCAATCCAGCAGGAAAGACTGTGAGACTCTTATCTCCAGTTAACTACAAAAAAAATGCCTGAAGTGAAGCTGTGGCTCAAGTGGTATGGCGCTAACCAAAGCTCAGGGAGAGCAACCAGGCCCCAGGACAGGCACACACACACACACACAAGTGAAAGCACAGAAAAATAACTTGCTCAAGGTCATCTAGCAAATGTTAGCAATGACCTTGAACCCAAGCAATCAATAAAGCTTGTAGATTTAACTATTCACTATATTACCATTGCCAGAGTTTATATAGTCTGACTGTAAGAGGAGAAAAATCAACACTGCAAATGAAAGTGCAGTAAGATTCAGGGGCTTTGAGCCCCAGCCAGTAGATTGTAAGGCTCTCCCAAAGAAGGGGTTTTTGTCTTGATTGTTTTACACAAAACTGACCATTCTCAGTCTCAAAAAACATTGCTGAATGAAGGCTGAATAACATCATCTTTGAAGGACTGGATCATTTGTCATTATCCACAGGTTCCCAACAGCAGTGTTGCTTATCTAGCAGGTGTTGGCAGTCAGAAGATGAGGAAGAGGGCATGCTAGAAGGCTGTCATATTAGTCTTAGAGTCAAATTTATTTGCAGAGGCATCTTCCACCTTCCCTTAGCCTTGGATACCAATTCTCATTAAAGGTTCAATGATGTCAGGCTTTTTACCCTAGTTCCCAGACAGAAATAATGCTCCAGGCACCTCATCTACTCTCAGAAAAAGGCTGGCCTCAGCCAGGTGGGGTGGCTTACCCCTATAATCCTAGCTACTCAGGAGGCTCGGATCTGAAGATCATGGTTCAAAGACAGCCCTAGCAGGAAAGGCTGTGAGACTCTTATCTCCAAATAGCCACCAGAAAACTGGAAGTGGCGCTGTGGCAAGAGTGGTAGAGTGTTATCCTTGAGTCAAAAAAGCTCAGGACCAGCATCTGGGCCCTGAGTTCAAGTCCTAAGACTAGCACAAATTAAAAAAACAATAACAACAAAGAATGGCCTCTTACAGGTGAAGTTAAGAATTGTTCCCAGTCCAACCACTTAATCCTGTTGCTACATTCTTGGATCATTCCAAGGAGTCAGCATTAGATAGGTTAGCAGTACACTTTGAAAAACCCTGAACTTTACCAGGTTTTGGTCCTGGAATAAAGGAATAGTTTGTGACTACTTGTATCTTTTGAGTTCTTGGGTCTAAGCATCCCAACAATCAGACATTGTTCTCTTTGAAATCTCTACCTGAGTGTAAAGTATGCATCATCTGTTCCCCAGATAGAGGTTCATAACTAGAAGGAAGGACTTTGGAAAGGTACACAGAGTTAACATGGAGCCGGGAGAAAACAGGCCCCATACAATAGCTGGATAGCCAGATGTTCACTTTTGCAGCTCTCCTGTAAAACTGGCAGGGTAGATACAGATTAAAACAAAGCACAAACTCCATTTAAAGTGCATTACAGCTCAGGAACGAGCTCCCCCTGGGCAGGAGAAGGGAGGGGAGGGCAGAAAGGCCACATCAGTTCTCTTCTTTATCTAGGGCCACATGTCTTTCTCTCCTAGCTTTGTGAAGGGTGATTTACACCCCTGGCTTCAATGACTCTCTTTTCTGCACTGATTACATCGGCAAATGCCCCCCAGAGGCCACATCAGCATGGCCATATTCAGAGGCAGCAGCCAATAAATCTCCAACATTTATATTGCACTTCACAATACCTCCTACCTGGCCCTCTGCCAGGCCAGGCCGGCTGTGGAAGCAAAGACGGGGTTCAGGTGGAGAGAGTTAGGGGATGAAGCCCTCTCCCTTCCTTTTATCATTTTTTTTCTCTTTCTAGACATGGTTCTCTCTTTTCTAAGTCAAGTCTACCTTTGCCCTGGAGCTCATGACAATCAGACTCAAGTACAATAAATCCTCTTACGCTTATGAGTAGACATCCTGGATTCTGGGCACAGCTGTGTTTCTAGGTAGTTTAATCTTGATAGAGGACCCAGCTTTGTTAACTGCTCCTCACATGATGACAGAGCTCCAAAATGGTCTATGGGTCACCTTCCTCAGTGATCTTATCTTGATCCTGAGAAATCTTTGTTGGGGGGGGTGAGTGGTGAGTGGTGGTGGTGGTGTGTGTGTGATCCCTATTCCTCCCCCAGAACACCAACAGTCTAAATTTTGGAGCAGTCTAGTCTGCTAAAGCTCTTAGAATCTTATCCCACTTATGTCCCCAGCAAAGTTGTTTCACCTATCCGGGCCCCCTGTTTGCATAATCTTGGTTTTAATAACAGCCATGAAATCTTACTCTTCAAGACACTTACCCAGGGCAGATGAGGTGCTGTGCAAATTCCAAATACTAGAAATCCAATACCCTTAAGGTGATTTCTTACTACAAGATTGCATTGGTAGTGACTGCTGTTTTTTCGGGAGGGTTAAGAAGATTGTATTTTTAAAATTTAAAATTGTTATTGTAAGGGTAACGTACAAAGGGGTTACAGTGAGCTGGAAATGTGGTTCAGTGGGTAGAGTGCTTGCCTAGCATACATGAAGCTCTGGGTTCGATTCCTCAGTACCACATACACAGAAAAAGCCAGAAGTGGGGCTGGGGCTCAAGTGGTAGAGTGCTAGCCTTGAGCAAAAGAAGCTCAGGGACAGTGCGCAGGCCCTGAGTCCAAGCCTCAGGACTGGCAAAAACAAACAAACAAAAAACAACAAAAATGGTATGTGTATATGTACCTACACAAATCACAGCTTCAAAATGAGGGAGGGAGGGATAACAATGTTCTCACTACCTTACCTATGTAACTAACTCCTCTCTACATCACCTTGACAATAAAATTAAATTTAAAAGCAATAAATCACAGCTTCACTTTCCTAACAGAAAAATAAACTCATAATAGTCCATGGCAGACTGCTAACTCCCCACCCTAAGCCGCCCCTGCGGGAAGTCACGGTCTCAGTATTTTTCTCTGCCTAGCACCTCACCCATCCCATTAAAATGGTTGAAAACAAGCAATTTCCTAGTCTTCAGGGACAAAAAAAAAAAAAAAAGCTACTTTCTGGCTGCCTTGAATGTGAGTAAATAATCCATTTTAGTACATTTTTTTCTACTGCCCCTCCTACCATACCTTTCCGAAGGCCCAGAGGGCCCTAATGGGTTCTCTTTGGATGCTTCCCTAATAATTACTGCTTTTGATGACTCCAATGAGAGCAGACCTACATACCACAGCTCAGACTGCCATACTGACCCAGGGCTTCTTCAGTCACCTGACAGAATAGAAATTCTTTTTTTTTGGGGGGGGGGGCCGGTCATGGGGCCTGAACTCTGGGCCTGGGCGCTGTCCCTCAGCTCTTCAGCTCAAGGCTAGCGCTCTACCACTTGAGCCACAGCGCCACTTCTGGCTTTTTTCTTTCTTATGTGGTGCTGAGGAATCGAACCCAGGGCCTCAGGTTTGCAAGGCAAGCGCTCTACCACTGAGCCACTTTTCCAGCCCGTCCAATAGTAGATTCTAACAGGGATGATAATGAAGTTCTGTATCAATTAAGAGATGGAGGGAGGGCTGGGAAGGTGGCTCAGTGGTAGCGCTTGCCTTGCATGCCTGAGTCCCTGGGTTCAATTCCTCAGCACCACATAAGCAAAAAGAAAAAAGCCAGAAGTGGCGCTGTGGCTCTAGTGGTAGAGCGCTAGCCTTGAGCTGAAGAGCTGAGGGACAGCGCCCAGGCCCAGAGTTCAGGCCCCACGACTGGACCAAAAAAAAAAATAAAGAGATGGAGGGAATAGCTGGGCGCTGGTGGCTCATGCCTGTAATCCTAGCTACTCAGGAGGCTGAGATCTGATGATCGAGGTTCGAAGCCAGCCCAGGCAGGAAAGTCCGTGAGACTCTTTTCTCCAATAAACCACTCAAAAACTGGAAGTGGTGCTGTGGCTCAAGTGGTAGAGTGCTTGCCTTGAGCTGAAGAGCACAGGGACAGCGCCCAGGACAGAGTTCAAGCCCCACGACCAACCAAAAAAAAAGAAAGAAAGAAAGAAAGAGAGATGGAGGGAAGAATTAGTATCCTTGTTGGCTCTTGCAACACACACAACCCTCTTCTTTCCCTTCTCCTCCATCCTCTTCCCCTCTTCCTTCCCTGGGATTGCTGGTGTGGATCAGTTGGTAGAGTGCCAACCAATGAGCAAAAGTGTCAGGTATAGAGTTTGAGTCCCAGTCTTGGGCCAAAAATAAATAAATAAAAACCTCAGGCCAGATGATATAAACACTACTTTATACATACCATAGCCAGAGCAAATTAAATTTCCTAGATTGATACCACTGAGAGAAGTCCACTCCCACAGGGAGACAAAAAAAATCATGTGATGATGTATGAAGATATATAATCTTACAGGAAGGACAAAGAATATTTGGTTTTGGGGTTTTTTTGTTGTTGGTTGTGGGGCTTGAACTCTGGGCCTGGGCACTATCCCTCAGCTCTTCAGCTCAAGGCTAGCGTTCTACCACTTGAGCCACAGCACCACTTCCGGTTTTCTAGTGGTTTTACTGGAGATAAGAGTCTCACGGACTTTCCTGCCTGGGCTGGCTTTGAACCTCGATCCTCAGATCTCAGCCTCCTGAGGAGCTAGGATTACAGGTGTGAGTATATTTGGGAACAATAATACAAGCTACCATAGTCTACTCCTTAGGCAAAACAGTCATTTTTCTCCCTTCCATAAG